CTTGCCCTCCATAGGGATCCTTCTGGTTCTGTGGCTTTGTAACCAGATATAGGCTCCCATTGCATATCTCTTGGCACTTAATGGTGTCTTGCAGGCACGTTTTACTGAGATCTTGGTACTTCTACAATTGCTGTCATCGAGTTTCTAGAATTTCTCCTGAGATTGCTCAAAAGCTCTACTTCTTTCTTTTTGCAGGTCATTCAATGTGATCTATTCATGGGTTTTAGTGAACACAAGGCACTAGTCTGTATCCTGGGCCACTAGAATCCCTGAAACAAGGTTTGTGGAACCTTGGCTATTCTGATTAAAAATTGACAGACAGGAATGATAGGAACAAGTAATATAAATTAATGTTCTAGTAGAGGAAATACTGTATAGTAAACACCAGATATCAGTAAAAGTATAGTTGTTTGGAGTATACTTAGAGTAATTTGAAAACTTCATATAAAGGAAATAAGACAACTGAGCCTAAAAGGATGAAGAAAAAGTGTGTCTGTTGTATTTGTGTTTCTAAGGGCAGTGCCATCAGGGGTGGTGACACATGCATGAGTTGGGGTAAGTATGTGTGGTATGTTTTGATAACATGTAGGCCCTGGGTTAATGAAATGGAGTTGAGAGTTTATACTGTTACAGAAGAGCTTCAGAAGGATTATTATGGTAATAGTCAGATGGATAGATTTGGAAAGGAAAGAAGCTTAGGAGACTATAGTAGTTCTGACCTGAACTGAGAAAGGATTGGTGGCAGTGGAGATGGGAAGAAAATAATTTATTGGATAGAGATCATTGAAAAAAAACTGTGGGCAGAAGAATGATTTCAAGTGATTCTTCTGTTTCTCTGCTGGATTTAGGGATATGAATAGGGTCATTAGCAGGGTCTTAGTTACTTTTCTCCTTACTGAAAGAAAATACCCAACATTCAAAATTAATTAAAGGAAGAAAGGTTTATTGAAGGTCATAGTTTGTAGAGGTTTCAATTCATAGTTGGCTGTCTCCGTGGCAGGCTGGGATGGCAGGAGGACATTCCAGAGGAGAAAGAGTCCATGGCAGGCAGAAGGCAGCAAAGCAGCAAGTGAAAACAGTAGCCCTTTTTTTGTCTTTTAGTCATTTATCCCCCCCCACCCCCGGGATTGAACTCAGGACCTTGTGCTTGCTGGTCGGGTATGGTGCCACTGAGCCACATCCCTGGCCCTTCTTTCTGTCTTTTATAGTCTGTCCAGGCTACATGCCTTTAGGGCAGATAGCACTTATACCCAGGGTGGGTCTTCCCATTACCCACATCTAAAACTATGCCAAACCAGTCAGTGGACTAGTTGAGTAATCACATATCCTTTATCCCAGCATTGCATTTTTAATCCCAGCATCATACCCTGGAACCAGCCACCTCTGAAAAGCCACACCTATGACTTTATGAAGCTTTGGGGTGACGTCTAAGCACAAGCCATAACAGATGGAAACTGGAGAAGTCAGGTTAGGACATTGTCATGAGAAGAAGAGAAAAAGTTTAACAGAAGTGTTAAGTTATTGGAGCCCTGAAATGGGATAAGATTTCTGGATATATCATCAATCTCCAAGATCTTGCTTTAGCTCCCCGTTGTTTTTCCTAGTGACTATTATGAGGAAGACGGTGATGTAGGAAGATGATGAGAAAAGAGATGATGATTTGGGAGTTTTGGCTTAAGGGTTAAGTAATTCTTTTAATTTTTTATTTACATGAGTTTTGTAATTCAGAATTACTTTGTAACATTTTAATGGAGTCTGAAATTTCAGTATGCTTGGAATATCCTTTTTAGTTTTAGTTCACTTACCTCTATACTATTCCATGATGTTGTCTGAGCATTTATAAAACTCCACAGAGGGCCGGGGATTTAACTTATTGGTCCGCCTCCTGCCTCTCAAGTGCAAGGTACTGAGATTTATCTCCAGTACCAAATTGAAAAAAGAGAAATTATTAAGATCTAAGGTCGGGGATTTAGCACAGTGGTTCTGCTGCCTGCCTTGTAACTTCAATGTTCCAAGTTCAGTTCCTGGTACCAAAAACAGCAAAACAAAAAACTCCACAGATTTGTAAATCTCTACATATTTTTATTAATATATATTTATATTTGTAAAGCTAATAAACTTGTAAGGCTGTTGCTATTAGTCCTTCCTTTTGGCCATCCACATGCAACCCTAACCCCTATATGATTTTTTTTAGGGGTAAATTTTTTGTCAGCTTTGGATATTCAAGTGTATTTTGCCAGTACATTAGTTCCATGAAGATTAGCTAGTATAAGATAGGCTGTTTACTTGGACCAACAGATGCATCACAGGAAGATTTATCAAAGCAAGCATGGATTTCTTTGAATATGACTATTAAAAATGAAATATTGAAATTATTTATAGTAACCCTCAATATATGTCTAGTATGGTCTTGTTAATGCCAAATTTCTACATGCTCATAATTTTCAATAGATGAACAAATTAATTTATATTTCATTCCTGAAAAACTAAAGAAATTGCCTAAAGTAAATGAAAATTACCCTTGAATCTCTTTTGTCTACTTCATAGATGTTTATATGATTATAATTCCCTTTATCACACTTTTGATTATTTATTTATTTATTTTTTGGTTTTTTTGAGACAGGGTCTCACTATCTAATTGGTACTGACCTGGAACTCACTATGTAGCTCAGGCTGGTCTCGAACTCATAGCGATCCTCCTGCCTCAGCCTCCCAAGTGCTGGGATTACAAGTGTGCCCCTCCACTCCCGGCTATCACACTTTTGAATTGTTATCGGATTGTGTGTAATCATTGTGTTTAAACTAAATTTGAAAGGTTTAATAAGATAAATTATCTGGGTATGAAAAATGTAATTGCTGAAGGACAAAAGATTTCAAAGCTAATTGTAGTCATACTTTTTTTGTTTTTGTTTTGTGTACTTATTTGTATTATATCATCTTTTGTCTTAGTTATACAAGTAACAAGTTACAGTTGATTTGACTTAGCATTGTTAGTATTAACAGTAATATTAGTGCTTGTACATGCATGTGCACACATGCACAAAAAAACACATACACTTAACATTATGTAGAAAGATACCTTTCTCATGTCTAATTTGACTGACCAGCCTAATAAATTAGATATTTCTATTGCTGTGTCATTTAAAATTCTTACTATAATAATCTATTATTAAAATAAGTTAAAGTGATTAAAATAGAATTGATTAAAATTAAGCCTTTTTATAAATACTTTTAGATAAATTAGCAGGCTATAAATGAAATTCAGTTTTGGTCTCCTTTACAGGAATAGCTATTCAGAGTCAGAACTTACCATGTTTTGCAGTATCTCCTGAGGAAGTCAGAGTCTGAGGCAGCATGAAGACTGAAACTTGTCTTTGGTCTGATATGTAAATGCACTTTTATTCTAACCACGTGCAAGGTGGAGGTTATAGCATGGAAACTAAGATCTTAGTAAGTGATTTTTATTTTAGTTATCAAGTAGCCTTTCTTATAGTGAAGGTGTCCTCTTATCAGAGTTCACACTCAAAATGGGGGCAGACTTGGCAGGTGGAAACATAATACACTTTGAAAGTGAAGGATTTAAATTTCATGTTTAGGAAAAAGTCCTCAGAAAGTGGGAAAACTGTCACCCTGCTTTGTTTCTTGTTAAAAGTAGGTGGTATTGCTGGGCGTGGTGGCACATGCCTGTAATCCCAGCACTTGGGAGGGTGAGGCAGGAGAGGAGGATCACTGTGCGTTCGAGACTAGCCTGGGCTACATAGTGAGTTCCAGGTCAGTCTCAACTATATAGTGAGACCCTGTCTCAAAAAACCAAAACAAAAAAAAGGTGGTATCGAGTTGAGGAAGGACTTAAGAAAATTAGTAATGATGGCTTTAGTTTGGGCCATTAAATGGTCATTTGATAAATGGCTTCATTTATTAATTCCCATTAAATAATCTTTATTATAGTGTGATGTTAGTAAACCCAATATAGAATCCTAGGAACTTTTCTTTTTTTTTTTTGAGACAGACTCTCACTATGTAGTCTAGGCTGACCTTGAACTCATTATGTACCCCAGGTTGGTCTTGAAGTTCTTGTGATTCTCCTGACTTAGCCTTCCAAGTGCTAGAATTACAGGTGTGTGCCACCACTCCTGGCTCTTTGAAACTTTTATATAGTGAGTATATTTTAATATGAATTGAATTTTAAATATTAAAAAATTTCAAATATTGAATATGAGCACCCACAATATTAGTTTTATTATGCCAACAGTTGTAGATGTTCTGACAATTTGAATTTTCTAGTAATTGGTGATATGCAGCATTGTTTTTTTTTGTTTGTTTTTCTCCAGCTAGAACTAGATTTTGAGGAAAAGGGTATCAAGGAAGCATCCCTGTTTCATATTGTTACTTTGTTAATTGTGGTGTTTATTCCTCAATATCTTTTCTACCTGTGCTAATTAAAAGCAGTGAATTAACACTTTTAGGCTATTTTTCTCTTTTAGCAGGATTCAGAGATGTCTTTGGTCTTCTGAATTTCTGTATTAAACAGTATTTAGATAGCATAATTTATGTTGTTTGTAATTTGAAAATGATTATATTTGAGGTATTATTTGGTTTGTATTCTTTCCCTTCCCTTTGAGTCTTTAACTGTTGGGTGCTTTCCTAAATTAGATGCTGATGGCTGAGCTGAAATTAAACATATTTATTAGTGGCACCCTATTTTAATCTTCTCTTCCCATTTAGGACAGATATTTCCTGCTTGTTACTTTGTCACCCGGAAGTACAGTTTTATTAAATCCCAAGGTCTAAGAATTTTCTTCGGGAATTTATCTCCAGTATCTCTATGGTAACCCAAAAAGAAAAGTAGAATAATTCAGTCTGAAATCCTATATATATGTTCTGAGAAATGTATATTTTATAAATTGAAGTGTATTTTTATTTTTTGGACATTTTCAGAGGTAGAATTATGGAATTATTATTTTAATAACCATGTCCTAATTATTTATAGCCTCTTACCTGACAACTTACTTCAAGAAGTGCACAATGTCAGAACCCGGAATTAAGTGGGCTTGCGAATATTGTACGTATGAAAACTGGCCATCTGCAATCAAATGTACCATGTGTCGTGCCCAGAGGCCTAGTGGAACAATTATTACAGAAGATCCATTTAAAAGTGGTTCAAGTGACGTTGGTAGAGATTGGGATCCTTCCAGCACTGAAGGAGGAAGTAGTCCTTTGATATGTCCAGATTCTAGTGCAAGACCAAGAGTTAAGTCTTCATACAGTATGGAAAATGCAAATAAATGGTCATGCCACATGTGCACATACTTGAACTGGCCAAGAGCAATCAGATGTACCCAGTGCTTATCCCAGCGTAGAACCAGGAGTCCCACGGAATCTCCTCAATCCTCAGGATCTGGCTCAAGACCAGTTGCTTTTTCTGTTGATCCTTGTGAGGAATACAATGATAGAAATAAACTGAACACAAGGACCCAGCATTGGACTTGTTCTGTTTGCACTTACGAAAACTGGGCCAAGGCTAAAAAATGTGTTGTTTGTGATCATCCCAGACCTAATAACATTGAAGCAATAGAGTTGGCAGAGACTGAAGAGGCTTCTTCAATAATAAATGAGCAAGACAGAGCTCGATGGAGAGGAAGCTGCAGTAGTGGTAATAGCCAAAGAAGATCACCTCCTACTACAAAACGAGACTCTGAAGTAAAAATGGATTTTCAGAGGATTGAATTTGCTGGTGCTGTTGGCAGCAAGGAGGAACTTGAAGTGGACTTCAAAAAACTAAAGCAAATTAAAAACAGGATGAAAAAGACTGATTGGCTATTCCTCAATGCTTGTGTGGGTAAGTTTCTGTTTTCTGAACTTTTTTAATGAGATAGGAAAAGATATTAAATATGACATGAAAAATACAAGCAGTCAAAATTATTTAGCACTGAACTCATGCAGCATGATAGCTGTATTCTTGAGTTTGCATGCATAAGAATCTTTCTGTGAGCTTATCAACTTTATACTAAATGCTCACATTTGTGTACATATCTCCTATTTCTTGTGTACATATTGGAAAAAAGTTAAAGCAAATGTATTACATATTAGCAAAAAAAAAAATGTATACCTGGAATTTAAAACTGCCTGCTACTCTCTTTTTTTGTACCAAGATATGACTTAGGAACAGCAGCTGCTGTTTGTCAGTGTTTGTAAACAGTGCAGGCATCTTGTGATGATAGAGGCTTTAGTCAGATGTTAAAAATATCACAAAAATGTGTGGCTCGAAGAAGTTGAAAAAACATAATATTGACCTTGAAAATGCTGACATTAAATACATATGTCATGTAGTGAATGTTTGCAAACTTCATGGAACTGATTTCACATAGCCATTTGATTCTATAGTTCAAGTTATGATTTGTATGTATTGTGTTTTTATTGCTCTCCTAAGGAATTTTGGAATACTGGACCCTGTCATTAGCTCAGAGCTGTTATAGGATAGAGACACCAGAGCAGGGTTTTTTCCCCCCAAGTTATTGACTTTGTGAATTATATGTGAAGTATTTCACAAAGGCAGTTTGCTTAAATGTTTTATATTTGTTTTCAGTAGGTTAAATTTTTTTTTTTTGGTATCAGGGATTGATCTCAGGACCTTGTGCTTGTGAAGCAGGTGGGAGTACCACTGAGCTAAATCCTTGACCCCCTCAATAGGTTAGATTTTATTCTGTTTTATTTATTTGTTTGTTTGTTTTATTTATTTTTATTTTTTCTGGTACCTGGGGCTTGCATTCAGGACCTTACACCAAGGCAGGCATGGCACCACTGAGCTAAATCCCTGGTCCTCAATAGGTTAGATTTAAAATTTTATTGTTTAAATTATTTCAATGGGGTGCTTGCTTTTTTGGGGGTTTGGGGGTCCTTGCTTTGACATTCATTTTTCAGAAAATTTTGATTAGTAAAGATAAACTTTGTATGGAGCAATAGCTAAGATTGAAATGGGACTTGCTTATTATTTTTTCTTGGCTATTATTTCTTGTCTTTATGGTTGTTCTGCACATATTTCCTCCCTTTTTCCCCGTTCCCGCCCAATAAGAAAAAGCTTTGTTTACATTTTTTCCTTTTTTCTTGTCCTTCCTTTCTCTCTCCCCCTTCCTTGTCCCCCTTCCCATTTGAACTCTTTATTCCCATTTCCCAACATCCATTCTCTGGAGTGAGATAGAATATTTGCATTTCTTGAATGACTGTAATGTTGAGCATTTTTGATATGTTTATTTGCTGTTTCTAATTCTTTTGTCTGAGAAATATCCATTTCAGATGCCTATTTTTGGATTGGGTCTTTAAATTGGGGGGGGTTTGACTTATTTGAGTTCTTTATATATTCTAAATATTAATTCTTTGTCTGAGAAACAGCTAGTAATAATTTTTTTCCACAGTGTGCTGTCTCTTCACTCTGTTGGTGGTTTCTCTTGGTGTGCAAAAGCTTTTTAATATGAGATCCCAGTTGTTGATTCTTTGTGATAGTTCTTATGCAATTGGGGTTTTGTTCATAAAGTCTTTCCCTACACCAATGTCTTTGAGAGTTCTACCTATTCCATCTTCCAGCAGATTTACTGTTTCTGTTTTAATATTTAGATCTCTGATCCATTTCGATCTTAGGTTAGTATGTAATGAAACATATGCATCTGGTTTCAATCTTCAGCATGTGGAAAGTCAGTTTTTCCAGCACCATTTATTAAAGAAGCTGTATGTATTCCAGTGAAGGTGTTTGGCTTCTTTGTCAAAGAAAAGGTAGCTGAGTGAGTCTGGAGTCATTTCTGCATCTTCTAATCTGTTCGATTGATCCTCCTCAGATCTGTATTTTTGCCAGTACCATGTTTTTTTTTTTTTTTTTTTTTTTTTTTGTTTCTCACTATGTAGGTGAGACTGACCTGGAACTCACTATGTAGCCCAGGCTAGTCTCGAACTCACCGTGATCCTCCTGCCTCTGCCTCCCAAGTACTGGGATTACAGGCATGTGCCACCACTCCCCTCTTTATTGCAGTGGCTTTATTGTATAATTTCAAGTCAGGTATTGTGGTGCCCACTGCCTTGCCTTTGTTGCCAAATATTGCTTTGGTTATTCTGTGTCTCCCCTGGTTCCAAATGAATTTTCAGATTTTTTTTCTAATTCTGTGAGATTTGCTGTTGGAATTTTGATTGGGATTGCATTAAATCTGTATAACAAGTTTGGAATTACGGCCATTTCGCTCTATTGGTTCTTCCTACCCAAGAACAAGGGATATCATTCCATTTTCTGATACTCTCTTCAATCTCCTTTTTCAGAGTATTGTACTTTACATGTAAATATCTTTTACTTCCTTCGTTAGATTGATTCCTAGGTATTTCATTTTTTTTTATGCTATTGTGAAAGGTGTAGTTTCCCTAATTTTTCTCTCAATGAGTTTGTTATTCTTGTACAGGAAATCTATTGATTTTTTAGTGTTGACTATGTATCCAGCTGAGCTCTAAATTTGGTTATTAAATCTGCATAAGGTCCTAAGTTTGAACTCTGATAACAAAAAAAGAAAAAAAAATCTACAAGTCTTTTGGTGGAACGTTGGGGGTTTTCTATGTAGAGTATCAGGTCATCCGCAAATAATGATAATTTAACTTCTTCCTTTCCCATCCTCATTCCTTTTATTTCTCATGTCTACTGTTTTCAGAAGAATATGGAATAAGAGTGATGACGGTGGACATTTTTGTGGTGTTCTTGTTTGTAGAGTGAAAGCTTTCAGTTTTTGTCTATTTAGTCTGATGTTGGCTATTGGTTTGTCATAGATGGCTTTTATCAGATTGAGATAAAGACCATCTATTCCAATTTTCTGAAGGGTTTTTATCATGAATGGGTGTTGGACCTTGTCAAATGCTTTTTCTGCTTCTATTGAGAGGATCATATGATTTTTCTCCTTGGTTTTGTTAATAGTGTTTTATAGTTATTGATTTGCATATGTTGAACCATCCCTGCATCCCTTGGGTGAATACTTCTTGGTCATAACTATATTAAGAACTTTTTGGTGTTGCCTTTTGTCTTGTGATGCTAGGGAATGAAACCAGGGCTTTGGGCATGCTAGGCAAGTGCACTACTACGGAGGTACATCCCCAGCCCTTATTAAGTATCTGTAATTGTGAGGTATTGTGCAGGCAGAGGGTGGTGTCTGCTCTGGCTGGGGAGACTGGCAATGCTGTCAGTGCCTGGAGGAGACACTTGTATGCAATGCTTTTGGAGGAATCCACAATGATAAATAGGCTTCCTTGTGAAAGGGTAGAAATTTCCAGGATGAAAGCAATGCATTTCCTTTTGGGATTGATTTCATTTGTGGATAGCATCTCCATTTATAATATCTTGGTTACTATTAGTAAGTACACCTCCAAAATCACAAGGACTTTCACTATCAGAATGACCTCTGGGGAAAACTCCAGTGGCTGACAGGTAGATTAGAAGCACACTATTGGCAGGCAGCTCCTTAAAAGATGCTGTTAAAAATGTGTAGAGTTCGCTGAAGATTGGTTTGTAGAGCAGGTATTTATGGGGTTTTCTCATCTAATAGGTTTGTCAGCAGATTCCTTAGCAAATACAGGGAGCAGATCATTTGCATTCCTGACTTGTTCATCTGAGAGGCTAAATTAATTGGCTCCCTTTCCAGGTCTTGTAACATCAGGAACATGTCAGCAGTTAGTTCACTGAACTTCACCTTGGTCTTCTGAGTGCTGGGATTTCAGGCAGGCAGCATCATGTTTGACTCTTTTTAACTTATTTATTTTTTAAGTTAGGTTATCCCTAAGTTGCCCAGGCTGTGCTTGAACCTCCAATCCTCCTGCTTCAGCCTCTTAAAGTCTCAGCAAATATTTTTGGTAATTTTTTTTTTTTTTTTTTTTTTTTTTGGTACCAGGGAACGAACTTGGGACCTTTAGCGTGGGAGGCAGATGGTGGAACCACTGAGCCAAATCCCTAGCACTTCAGCAAATATTTTTGACCATTAATTGTACTGTTACACAAGGGTTTGAACCTGTCATTATTGGGTAGTCATATCCTGATTTGTAAACATTGAAATATGTTAAAGTCTTTTAAAAAACTTGTTTACATTGTATTGGGTTAATAAAACAAAACAAAATCTAAGCATAAGGCTACTAGTTCACGTGTACTGAAGGTTAATCATTATTCTTCCCCCTTTCTGCTTGCTTTATGTTCCCCAGATTTCATCAGTTATAGTACTGTATATTATGACTTATGTCATGCATTAAAAATCATCTCCATAGTATTACACTAAGCATAAAATTGTATACTGAGTGTAAACTGTAGAACTTTCTAAAAATGTGAAAATATTTTCAACTGTAGGCCAACTTTGTAGCTGGTAAAATAGGAATGAAGAAATTCAGTTATTGAGAAATTAAAAGTAAACTAAAACATTAACAATACAGTATCAAACATCTTTACCTGGTACTATGCTGTTTTTTTTTTTTTTTTT